TTTTTTTTATTTTATTGAGAAACAAATAGCAATGAGACAGTTTCAAAACTGATTAATAGGACAGTTTCAATAATTAATACATTGTACACTATCTTCTTAGTGGTTATCCATAGTACAAGATGCAGACAGGCTATGCTGTCCAAACACTATTAGTACATCCAAAATATTTTATGAAGAATTCATATTTGTTTAATTTTATAAAGTGTTAAAATAATCATCACAGGACTAAAAATTGGAATTTATCTAGACAAATATTTTTTCTTTTTTCTCTGTTTTATCTCTTTAATCTCCACTACATTTTAAAAGGTTATATTATTGTGGTAAGAACACCTAAGACCTAAGCTCATAAATAATGTTTTAAGTGTGTAATGCATTATTGTTGACTATAGGTGTAATATTGTGCCCAGAGTATATTCATATTCCTTAAACAAATTTTTTCTTAAAAGTTAATATGGCGTTCATTTTGAAATTTGGGGCAGTGAAGGAGGGGGTAGCTACACACTGTCTAACCTAAATGTCAAATTGTAAACATGAAAACATACACAGAAAGGGAGCTGGGAATAGAAATCCCAGAGCAACAAAAGCTAGAACTGAGAGAGAACAAGGGGAAGGTCGAAGCAGCAGAAGGCAGAGACTCTGAGGTGAACAGGAAACAGACAGCGGTGAAAGGCAGAAAAGGATGCACACACCTGCCTCTAAGGGACACCTGCAGAAACTCCCCTGATGTCGCAGAGAAGCTGCTGTGACTTTGGTGTGAGCTAACCTTTTATTTCTTTTTGTATTCTTACCACAAATCCCTCTCTCCCAAGCTTCATGTACAGTTGCTTCCTGCAGACTAAAACAGTGTAGCTAAAGCACCATACTAGCAAATCAAAGAGATATTCATATATTATTACTAAAAGCAAATGTGAGATATATAAATATAAATATAGATAGATGAAATAGTATGTATATAACCTGACTAAGACTCATACTGTTTTGTAGAAATCTTCAATGACCTTTTAAATGGGTTCATCTAATATATTTTACATAGTCCTGCATAACTACCAATTTGAGAGCTATTTATTCTTTATCCAGGACCATATAGCAAATTCTCTTGCCTTCTGGATTATGCTCTTTGTTATTTTCTATATACTATGTCTGGAGGTATTAGAATATTTCAAGTTTATATAATTGGAAAATACTTTACTTTTAGTTTTCAAAGGTATGTTTGCTAAGTATAAAATTCAATGAGGACAGATCTTATTTTTTTTCTTTCAGTCCTTTGAATTAATTAGTCTAGTTTCTTACCCACTTGCTCTTTTTGTTTTCTTTTCTGATGTGGAATAAGATACTACTTAATTTTGTTCTTCCATAGTTAATATTTTTATGTTTATTCTTTAATGATTTTTTTTCTTTACAATTAGTTTTGGACAATTTCATTTTTGTGTATCTTGGTATGATTTTATTCAAATTTCTTGTGCAAAAGATTCATTTTTCTTAGAAATGTGATGCTAGCATTTCAACTAAATTTAGAAATTTTAAATCATTAAATATTTATTGTGTACCCCTTTCTACTTTGAGAGTTCTAATTACATGAATATAAGTTTCTTGGTTTTGGCACACAGTGAACTATTATATGACTGATCTGTAAATTATTCATTTCTATGAACAATTTTTATTGTTATATTCCTTTAAGTTTGTAGATAATTTATTTACAACATGCAATCTATTATTAATCTCATGCAATGCATTTCATAAACATTTCTTTAAAATTCACTCTGTCTGCATCTTATATCACATTTCAATATTTGTCTATAAGTTTTAATGTGCTGTATAATTATTGATTTTCAATAAAGTTAATGAGAAAAAAATTTTAATGCAACATACAAACTTTAACAAAAACAGGTAATGTCAAACAGACACTTTTATTAAAAGAAAAACTGTCTAGAAGAAATGTCTTAAACACCTTACAATAACCTACTTGTAGTTGCATTTAGCTGAACTCTGTTGCTGTGAAGAATACAGCTCATGCACAGGTATGGAAGAATGATTTGTACATTTTTCAAGTATTCACTGAATACTACCTTATATACACATATACATTAAATTTGAAAAAGATTTAGCTGTTGATCCAAGATACATTTCATTTTTGTTGTTCTTTTGGAAGAGGTCGTCTGAACAGAAGAATATGTGGTTCTGGCTCGTGAATCATGTAATGAACCCAGCCTAGATTCTGCTGGACCCTAAGTGTATTCCATTCCTCTTCAGACATCAGATGAGTTTTGGGTACTTGTTTGGACAGTTCTCTGGGCAGCATAATATACTGATACTTGTAGTGCTCATCGAAATACTTGTCCGAGTAGTAAATCTGCTTATGGGCCATTCTGCCGGCACGCAGCAGTGTGAAGAACGAAGTGAATGCGAAATCGACTGCAACTCAGCCAGACACGCGTCTCCTCTGGGCCAAGGCAACAACCAGACTCCAGAAAAAAATTTTTTAAAAAAAGTAAAAAAAAAAAAAAGGGGGGGGTGCGGAGAGATGGCTTAGTGGGATAAGTGCTTCCTAGGCAAACACAAGGGCCTGAGTTCAATCCCCAGCTCCGCAAAATAAATAAATAAA